CTTTATATTATCGAATTCGTTTATAACTTATGTGAAGTTGTTTACGGTGAAAGGGTGTAAATATAGCGTTATAATACATATGTAAGTTACTGTTGTATGCTTAGATTACATAATAAAGACGTAATAATACCCTAATTCTATTCTGGAAACAATATATATTCATCTATTATATATTATGTTAGTTAGGTAATGAAACTCGATTTTGTCTGGTATTTGGAAAACCTACCTTTAAAGAACATATGGGAATCTGAGTAAGATCTAAATATTAGAAGGTCACAGCGACATTCACAAACAAGAGAACAATGAAGAAGTTTCCACCGAACCTTTATATTTTCTCTATCCCTCCAAACATGCTCGCCCTTTCAGCCGTAGGAGCGTTATATTGTTGCAGTCAATCCCACTATTCGTTGGTAAAAGAGTAGCCAAGAGATGGCGGTGGGTGGTGATGACTAGCTGTCTTCCCTCTAGTCTTTCGCTGCTAAATTAAGGACAGCTAGCGCAGATAGCTCTCATGTAGCTTTGCGCGAAATTCAAAAACAAAACAAATGTTTCTCTTTCTTCATTCCAAGTTTGATCTCCAACGTAGACACGGAGCAGATAACCTTTTGTGTTAAAACAAACAAAATAATAAAATATTTCTTTGAATATTTATTTATACAGTTCAATATGCAACTTGTTTTAAAACGTGCAAAGAACTTCATACTTAATGGGTGTTAAACTGCTTTTCCGAGAAAATATTTCCAAACTTACTGCTCCATGTCTGTCATTGTGAGCATAAACTTAGGTAAGCAAGGGCAGTCTCAGAATATTGACCTCAACAGTTAGGAAATCACATTAATCACACCCATGATGACTATTAAATACTGCATTCCATAAAGCACAAAATATAAAACCATTATGTTTAAAAGCATTTGCTCTTGTCAACTCAGGAAAGTAACCAATTTGATATTAGTTTCTGAATGTTACTTACATTTGTTTCTAATGACACATTTTTTAAGCAACTAAATTTAAGATTTTTTATCTCAGGCATGTCGCAGCAAGAAAAAAAAAGTTATACTTTGTGTGGCATGCAACTTCCGCTGAATTTCTCTGAACACTCGTTTCTCGCATGATAAATTTTAAACAGACTACCATATCATTAGTGTTTCGCATAACATGAAGTCCCCATGGTGTATTAGAGTCACTTGTAAACATTAGAAACTACTGCAATAGTCGCAGCACAGTAATAATGTTTTCTCGGATTGCGGCTCTGATTTCGTGTGTCGTTGACCTTCGCGATGGCCAAACGAAGTCCAGTATACGCAGTACAGTTATAACAGTCATGCTTGTACTTATATTGATGATATTATTTAATTTAATTATCAAGGCTTTCTTAACACAGTCAAACAAAATTATCCACCAATCGCTTACGCTGGAAAAAAAAGTTTTATTCACTACATTGCTATATCAAACATTCAAGTTATTTTTTTTTAATAAAAGAGATACTTTTGATTTTCAAGTAGTAAACTTTTCATTTCCAAAGGCAAATATTCCAATTACGTTACAATATCTACTACTCGTAGCTTATTACTTGCCATAGCATTAGTTCAACATTACTGGAGCTCGTAAGCTCACAAATGGGGTTTCTCCTACATCATTTCGGACAAGAAAATTCATTCATTTTTGCGGGAAATACAACAATCTTCATGTTATAAAGTCCGAGTTCAAACGTTTTACTGGACATCCCGACGTTTTCAAAAATTTCATGTCTAACTAAATTTTGTTAATAGTTTTTCTAAATTATGAGCAAGTTTAATCGAGAATAATTGTATACGGTGTTAACCTAATTCTGGTGTGTTTTAACATAAATCAAATTGATGAAAATCAAATTTTTAACTGCTTAATCCATCTCAGCACTGCATCAGTTGTTATAAAGCAGTTTGTTAATGTAAATATAACGTATCAACCCTTGCTATGTCTGTCGTATCTCAGCCATCCTGAAGAACCCTCGTATTAGGGGAATGGCCTCGTCAACAATGGATATAGTATACATAGTGTATTTGATTGATATATTAGTAAACACTTTTATTTAATTTCACTCGGAAGTTCCTATTAATAAATTGTTCAAGGTAATATTGAACCATTATTATCAGACAAGGTAATATTGAACCATTATTATCAGGACCATCATTAGTTTACCCCCCCCCCCCTTAGTTTAAGCTGTTGGTACAGTTAATGCGAGTTGTATATCTTATGACATTTCGTAGTTAACTGGATTGTTAGTTTGTTAATTACATTAATCATTACTTTTCTCATGTTTTATCTTTCACTGTGTGTATAATACATTATTGTTTTTTTTTATGACTCTTAGCTTGGATATATTTGATATTCTTGCTATTGTCGTTGTTGTTTTGCCGAATATTCGCCGAGACACTCTGCGCAGACAGTCCCTAATTTTGAGCTGATAGATTAGAGAGAAGGTAGCTAGTCAACATTACCCATTGCAGACTTTTTAGCTAACTCTTGTTGGACCGAATACTGATAATCGACCATCACTCTTATAACGTACATACAGCTCAAAAGAGCGGAACGCAGTATTTTACAGTAGAAAGCGAACGTTAGTTCCGCAGATACATAAGTTCGGCAAGCTAACCATTGAGCCACGCCCGGCCCACGATTCAGTTATTAATTATTTATTATTTTATAACTTAATAAACATTGTATTTTTTTCTGCTGTACATTCATTACTCTCTTACTACCCTGGTCTTGGTTAA